TATAAGCCATTTTTTAAACAGTGGGTCAAAAAGGCCTGTTCTGCTGGGAGTTGATGGGTAAAACTGTTGGAAAATAGTAGACCACCCTAGTTTTCAATCTATAACCCGCAAAAAATCGTAAGAACTCCGTAATTTAAAATAACGGTAGATAAGATTATTACAAAAATGTATTAATAGCGACATAAATTACTCCAATAACTTAACTTTTTAATTTTTTTTTATTTCTTTAAATTTGAATAGTACATACGGATCTATAGAGAACATAGAGAACCATGTATGTATGTATATACCTCAGACCGTCTTCTGCTCGCCCATCCATCAATATTTTAATTCAAGCAGGGAGTAAAAATATTTAAATTTAAAACTATGAAATGACATACACAGAATTATAATCTGAATTGGCATGGCGAATGCCTAACGCTGACGAGATGACATGATAAGATTAGTAGCCTCATGGCTCTTTGGAATCTACCTTATGGGCAGTAGCGCCGGCGTTTTCAGATGCGCCGGCGTCGCCGCCGCCGCCGATTATTTCTGAAGTTGACCACGTCGCCGCCGCAAAGCCTGTCGGCGGAATCTTCTAATATATATGAGCCAGAATTCGTGAAATCGATCAGTAAAAATTAAAGTTTTTTGATTTTTAATTCTAATATGGTGAATGTGTAATTCAGGAGCATGGAAAGGGATTCCCATCAACAAAACTTCGAAAAAATATATATTTCGCAAGTTATTGCATAAACAATTTTTATAGCATTTTTTCTTCGACGCAAAATATCTCATAAACTATTTAACCGAATTGGATGAAATTTTCAGGGCTTATTCCTTTTATGTCATAGTTTCTATTGACATATTTTTTTTAATGCAAATTTTATTTTTGTTCCTTTTATAAATATTAGTACTAACAAAGTTTTTGCAAAACATCGTTCTGGAGCAACAAAAAATTTGAAAAAAATTTAAAATATTCTTCCAGTCTTATTAAATAACATGTACAAATTTCAAAGTATGTGTATTTTTCTTTTAAAAGATATCAGCACTTAAACTTGGCTCTGCATGTATAGCATCTTTGATTTTTCGATTTTTGAATCAAAAAAATGTTTGAAAAGTAAAATCTAAAGAAAACATAGAAACTATGGCATAAAAGGAATAAGCCCGGAAAATTTCATCCAATTCGGTTAAATAGTTTATGAGATATTTTGAGTCGAAGAAAAAATGCTATAAAAATTTTTTATGCAATAACTTGCGAAATATATATTTTTCGAAGTTTTGTTGATGGGAATCCCTTTCCATGCTCCTGAATTACAAATCCACCATAATAAAATTAAAAATAAAAAAACTTTAATTTTTACTGATCGATTTCACGAATTCTGGCTCATATCTACTAAAAAAAAGTAAGTGCGCCTGGGCCACACTGGAGAAGTGAAACTTACTTTACATATCTAGTTAGTCTCATAACCAATATACTTATGTATGTACATTAGGGTGGTCCAAAAACAGTAACGTCGGAATTGTAATGCTCTCACCCCCTAGGATTTTTCTATATCGTATGAGTATAAGTATACTCATATTTTTTTATTTTTTTTTAAATCAAAAAATATTTAGAGGTCTCTCAAGCGCTCAAAGTTTTCCATGTATTTTTGTATGGGAAAAAACAACTTTTCGTAGAAATGGTATAGAATTCTTGAAAGTCAATATTTTTCGA